CACGTATTTCCTGTTGTGGTTTAACCCTGGCTGGCAACTAAGCACCGCACAGCCGCTCGCTCACTTCCCTCTCTAGTGGGATGGAGGAGAGAATCAGAAGGGTTAAAGTTAGAAAACTTGTGGGTTGAGATAAAGACAGTTTAATAGGTAAAGCAAAAGCTGCATGCACAAGCAAAGCAAAACAAGGAATTCCTTCACTCCTTCCCATCGGCAGCCAGGTGTCCAGCCATCCCCAGGTAAGCAGGGCTCCATCACACCTAACGGTGACTTGGGAAGACAAATACCATCACTCTGAACATCCCTCTTTCCTTCTTCTTCCCCCCAGATATTTTGCTAAGCATGACATCCTACAGTATGGAATATCCCTTTGGTCAGTTGGGGTCAGCTGTCCCAGCTATGCCCCCTCCCAACTTCTTATGCAGCCCCCGCCTACTCGCTGGTGGGGCTGTGAGGGAAGCAGAAAAAAAGATCGATCTAACACTTAGAACATATAGCATTATTAGGGACCCAAAATGCCCTGGAGGGTGATTTCCAAGAAGGTTCCCTGGATGCATAAGAGGATGTTCTGCTAGATATTTTATGTAACACCAAAAATTATTTAAAGATGGAGAAAGAAAGAGATACAGCATCCTAGTTGAGGTATGAAGGTTTCAGGATCTCCTGGATGGAATGACTTCTTAAGCTAAACACAGGCTTGGAAAATGTAAAATAATAGCAAAGTATTAAAAAATAACAAGAGATGAGAGGTTATTGACAAAGGCTCCAGCCTGTCAATTATTAAGTCAGAAGAGACCCTGCATCAAGTTAAAGGTCTATCCACACCAATAACAAATACTGTCAAAGGGAGGGAGTTAAGGTTGTATGTGTACTCTTAGCTTGTCCAGTATTTTTATCCTTTAAGTTAGCAGTCTTTGAAACCTTGTAATAGTATTATATGGAAGGTCTGATAAAACATAAAGGAAGCTTTAAAACCTGTAATGTGGACTCAAACAAAACCAAACCACTTACTTTTTTAAATCAGTATTTTTTTCTTGTAACATACTCATTTTTGTATTGCCCTGAAGCATACACAGTATTGTCAAAGCATTCATTGTCTGTAACAAATTGGAAAATAATTTCACCTCCTTGAAACAGTCTGGAAGAACACAAAGTCAAGAAGTTAAAGGACAGCCATACTATTCAAGTTATGGACTCTGTCATATTTAGTCAGCATATAGGATACTTTCTCTGCTTTACATCAGTCTTAATTAGACTTCTCTATTCCATTTTGTCTTCTCCATTTCCCTCCTTGCTTTTGTCTCCTGTCACAAAGCTGAAGTTTTGTGTGACCAGTTCATCTCTTTTCCATACCTCAGGATGGTACATGTGTCCAGAAACACAGGCCAAAACCAACAGATTTATCACAGCCTTAATGACAGCTGGCTGCATGCTGAGTGAATTCTTAAATTCCCCAAAACTACTTTTTTGCCAAAACATGTGGAGTTGCAGCATTCAACATTTTATTGGGACTGTTATCTCCAAATGAAGAATGGCTCCACTGGAAAAAATTATTTGGTATCAGCTGCAGACCTATTTTTAGCTTCTTGTTTGGTGAAACTTCAGAAAACATAATTAGCCATATGTTGAGAGATGTTTGCCAAGTCCTAAATTCGATTTTTGCAAACCACATTTAAGCACTACCTTGTCTACAACTTTACACTGTTGGAATCAGAAGACATGGGGGTTTTTTATGAGAATGTGATTCTTCATATTTCTTTGAGTAAATATTTGTGTTTATGAAGGCTGTAGAACTGGCAGTACTAAAGACTGAAATCTTCCATTTGTTTATATGGGAAGGTCTGTGCAGGCAATGGTACTGGAATCATCCCTTATGTCTGTCACTTATGGACTTCAAGCCTTGCATTGGGGTGATGATGTTCTTAGAGGCAGAAAAGTAGAGCAGGTCAGAAACATTCATTCTCCCCCACAAGTATTTGTAGTGAAAACAGAACAAGATTACTTTAATCAAAAACATGTACAGAAAATGTTAAGGTTTTGACAAAAATAAGAGTTTCTACATGAAAACCATTTTTTTTCCAAATGAAATCTAAATAAACTGTCAAATTTCAAATTGGATTAAAACAAATTGAAAGATTAAATCATATCTGGCTAAGTCTAAGTATGGAATCATAGTCAGGTGCCTTGTGATACCATCATGTCCTCTGAACCAGAATTCCTGTTTGGGCTACTTTTCCCATAATACAATTACAATTTCTCCTCAGGAAGTTTTCTGTGAAATGAAATTCAGTTTTTGCTGTCCTGAAAAGGCAGTTTGGACTATGTGAGTTGGATAAATGTCACCTTTCTATTTCTATTCACAGAAAAAAAAGAAAAGTCTTTTGCTATAAGAATGGTAAGACTGGATTTTTATTTTTCTAGCAGAAGAAGAAGTGTTCTTTGGTTCCCCTCTAATTACAGGTGGTCCAGTTCCAACTTCTCATTCTTTAATAAAGCTGCCAAATAGAAGAAGGACAAGATTTCTTACAACATCATGGTCCATGTCATGGATGGAGCAGAAGTGTACTAAGGCTACAATGAAGAGAGGGAGGAGCATTTGGGACAGTTCCACACTGCTGGCTGGCCTAACAAAGCTTGCAATAAAAGTAGGGGTTCTGCAGCCTCTGTGCTCTCTGTCCCAGCTGTACTGAGAGTAAATTCTAGGTAATTGGAAGTCAAGCCTCTTGGCTATAATAATTTAAAAACCAGTCCCCATATTCTTCCGTTTCCACATATTTGTATTGACTGCAAGCTGTTATCTATCTGTTTGATCTTACTTTCATTGACTTGTTTGACTTGCTGTTTTTCTGTTGACCTTATTGCCACTTGATAGAAATTTATGCAAAACATTTTGATTGCTGCTGATCTGTTTCTAGCGAGGTTAAAGAAAGAGAAATAACGCTACTAAAAACATGTGTTGACAGGATAGAGAACTCGTATGTCACCTTTGTTTTCAGTTGATTCTTGATGAAAATCATATTCTCACTACTAGAACCATTTTTTCAAATGACAGTGGCATTGCCTTTTGCAGCTCACAGTGCTTAAGAAAGGGAGTTTCTAAGCCCTTACATGAAGACACATGTGTAAATGGCTTTCTGAGGCACCTATGTTAATGGTAATCCATTGAGATGAATCTCAAGATTACTACAATTTGTTTCATGACTGTCTCATGGCTCAATATTGAGTGAGTAACATCACCCTGTGTGATACAGTATAATAGAATACAAGGATATAAATATCCAGAATAGCAAAAAGCAATTTGAGGAAAAAACTGGTACATTTAGTCACATTTCACTGAGTATTGACATCAACTGAGTTGCTATATAAAGCTTTCAAAGCAGAAATAGCATGAGTGTTGATCATTTAACTGGGCTTTTATTGGTAAACATTATTAATCAAAGGGTTTTTGTCTGTAGTTACAGAAATCAATAGCTTACCTAACTGAATGGTTTTTTTGGTTGAGAGTTAGTGCAGCTGAGATGGAGGATTTATTTGGTATAGCTGGGATAGGTGAGGTTAGTTCTTTCAGTTAACCTGTTAATCAGTAGCTGAAGGCTTTTCTTAATTTTACAGATAACTTCAAGTACAGAAGAATTTGTTGGTTTAAATAGAAATAATTGAAAATAAAAAAACTTCCTGTGCAGAAAAATATGAATCTGCAATATCTATTTTATGGACAAGGAGTAGATAGGATGTTTTGGTTTGTTTTGTTTTGTTTTCTAAAAACATTCAAAACAACATAACTTGGTTGTTATACTGCTATGTATTGCATATGATACCTATTCTACAATGCTACTAAATACTTAAGAATTATTCTCGTAATTCCCAAAGAAGTTTAATTTTTCATGGTTCTTTGGTGCTCATAGAACAGTCTAATTCTCATGAACTGTGAATTTAACTGGTTTTTCACATTCTCCAGTTAAGCATTTGACAGCTTTTAATGACTTAATTTGCTCTGATTAGCTTACTCTATAAGTCTTCACTTATAAGCAAAAGGATATATTTAATTCAGAATGCATATTAATATAATATACATAATCACAGGTCTGGGGGAAAAAAGTGAATCCAGCATGAATTTTTTTTTTTTCTTTGCTTGGTATCCAGATGTATAGCTTAGTAAAGATTATGAACAAGTCTCTGCTTAGAAATTGTTCTAATTTAAAAACTTGAAAAACATAATCCCATCCTCCCTCAGAACACATATACTGCTGAAATTGCGTATTTAGGGTTATGTTTTTCTTTATTGGTTCCATTAATATCTATGAATAATGGCTTCCCATGTGGTAATCTAATTACTGTTTGAAATAATTAGTGAACTGGAACAGTGTCATAGATCAAGGAGGAAATTAATAAAAGAAGGGTAAAGGTGAATTATACGGAGCATGGGAGCCTAACGAGGAATAATGAGATAATGAAATTAAAGAAAAATTTCGATCAAAGACCAATGACATCTACACAGTGAGTTCTGTCGAGTAGCAGAACTTGCAGAAGCTCTAGCATATGGGATATTTAAAACTGAGCTAGACGAACAGGAAAAAATGGACTGTAGGGAACCAATTCTTCACTGGCAAAGAGGTGGACTAGGTGACCTAATATCTCATTTCCACTGCGAGCACGTATGAGTCTGAACAAATACTTGGAATTCTGTATGTCTTCTAGCCTTTCTTGGACTTCTTTTGTATCTAGCAGCAGGAGATTTTTATCCTGTGAAAGTGCTTGACAGTAAATACCTTCATTTTCAGTCTTTCTTACTGGACAAAGTTAAATCTGAGGATATGTAAAGCCAAATCGTGCCTACTTGTTTACTTGCATTAGCGAGAAGGAGAGAGCTCAGAAAACTACTTGTCCTGTGGATCACAAAAAATCCCCTTAAATAGTGTTTTCAAATAGTGGGAAATAAGTGATGACTTCATTGGGTTTTGACATTTTGAATTCTAACTATTTGCATTTTGTGTCTTTTACAGACCATCTGAAAGGAGAAATAACCCAGAGGCACATTCAGAGGGCTGCTCTAGGTAAAACACTTCAGATACAATAGGATACAACAGGGGCAACAAGCTCTCTCCCAGGGCTGAATCTGCTTGTGGGGCAGGTTGTATTTTCTATGACAGTTTTTGCCACAATATTTCTACAATAGCCTACACCATAAAGAATATGGACTCTGTGAACTTTCCAGAGATTTGGCTCAAAAGGCATTTGATTTTATGGGTGGTGAGAAAAATAATGCAAAAGTCTTATAGGTTTGGGGGTTTGGTATTGGCTTGCTTTCTTTTCAGCGTGACCAAAACAAGAACAGAGACATCTAAGCTCTCCTCATTTTTAGTTGTTTTTTTTTTTTTTTTTCCTTTCTGATGACTCTAATTTGAATTCCCATTAACAGACATTGATTTGTCCTGAAACTCAGCTTCTAGGCATGTTGCCACAATCTGTCTAACATCCTTTTTAATTTTCTTCATTCCAAGAGAGACTGAAGGCATATACAGGTCATTTCTTTCGCATCTAGTTATAGAAGTTAAGAAGTTATTTCTTGCAGTTTCTGTTGACACAGCTGTGAAGCTAAAAGTGTCTATGTAAGTTGTTCACATAAGTGTAAAGTCATCCAAATTTGGTTTAAGATGCTTTAAGCTGACTCCACTGACTTTGTACTGAAACAGCCCAGGAGTGTTCATATGAGAATTCCACTTTTGGGACAGTAAACTTCAGCTAAAATGTGACAGAAAACTGCTGGGGCAATAACAGTTTAAGCCCCTCTCAGATCCATAAAAGAATCCTAAAATGTGCCTTCATGGACCTTCTTTACAAAAAAGATGAAGCTAACTCAGACCAGATTGCAGTTGATGGTTTTATTTCTATGTATACATAACACAGCAAACAATATTTGTTTCTTAATAAGAGACAGAAAATTTGGGGGCTTTCTTTTCTCCCAAAAGTCAGGAAAATAAGTTACTGCAGAGTAGTAAAATAGTTTCCCCTTTCTGTTTCTAATTTAGCCATGCATCTCAAGCTCCGTTGATGACGTTATTATTTTATACCTTTATCCTTCTTTATTTTTATTTAAAAATCAGCACTGAAAATTAATGCTGTCCATGTCAATAAAGCCCAGGAGTCAAACTCAGTTTATTTTGATCAGTATGAGAAGGGGAAGTGAAGGAGGTGCTGATCTCTTTTCCCCGGTATCCAGTGACAGGACGTGTGGGAGCTGTTCAAAGCTGCATGAGGCGAGGTTCAGACTTGATATTAGGAAATGTTTCTATACCAAGAAGGTGGTCAAACACTGGAACTGCCTTCCTAGAGAGGTGGTCGATGCCATTTAAGAAGCATTTGGACAATGCCGTTAATAACATGCTTTAACTTGGTCAGCCCTGAAGTGATCAGGCAGTTGGACTAGATGATCGTTGTAGGTCCCATCCAACTGAACTGTTCTGTTCTGTTCTATTCTATTCTATTCTAGTATCTGAAGTTCAATCTAAAGGTGATATCTTCAGTATAACATAGAATTCTTTCTTGAATTCATTCCAGATTTTAATACTGTCTATTTACTAATTTTATGCCACTTTAAGAAATTACATCAAGATGAATCATATCAATGCCATTTATGAGAATTCCTTATTCAGTGTTTGAAAAAATGAAGTGATGTATTCTGACTGTATGTTTCAACCTGCATGATAACATCTGGTCTTGTATACTGATTTCTTACTATATAGAAAATTCTGTTGCAAATGCTGTTTTCAATAACTATCTAAGCTGCTTTTCATAAGATAGGTAAGCATAGTTTTTTCATGTCCTTAGGAAATGACATAGTAGTGACTTTACCAGCTATACATTCACATTGTAAATATTCTATTAGTATTCCACAACATAGCAGGCAACCCATGTGTTTTTGGCTTTTGTTTTGAGCATTGCTATCTGCTTATCATCACTAAGTCTGGACCGCACAAAGTATTTTCCAGACCTTTTTTACCCCTTCGTTATTCTTTTAAATACTGTGGATATTTTAACAATATTTATTCTATGAGTTGGGGAGTATTATTTGCCTGCCTGCCTTTTTGGATGAATGTTCTTCCAAGGAGTAACAGGTGTCAAGTCTCCCAGGATCTTCTTGATGACCAGAATGTCATCAAGACATTTTTAAATGAAAACTGCATGGTAAAAAGTCCAATTAAGAGTCTGTTGAAATCCCAACATGAAGTAAAACACACCATTGTTTTAATTAGAAACCAAGTTAACATCTTCCAGCTGCCTTTTTTTTTTTCTTAACTTAAAGCATTTTATGGTTAAAACTCTTTAAAAAGCTATTCTAGTTGGATTTTAAACAGTGTAGATCTGTTTCCCTCATGGCTATGCTTAAGATGTGGATTGCTTATTGAAGGACAACTCCACTACTCATCCCATTGTTCTTAGCTATCTCTTTTAAAACACCATATGCTGGGAGTTAACAAAGGACACAAATAAATGGGAGGTTTCATTGGAGGCAAAGGAGTGCTTCATGTTTTTCAGTACACAACCAGAAACACCAAACACTTTGTGTAAAATTGCAAGGATTCACTCTCAGTGTGACTTTCACCTTTATTAATTGTAAGAATAACCTATTATGCAAATAACTTCTTTTATTCAGTAAGATCTTTCAAAGTAACATGCTTAACTGCATTTTTAGGCAGTATTTAAAATTCTTTTTGCATGCTTAACTGCATTTTTTAGGCAGTATTTAAAATGAAATAATGTGCACGCTATTGAAGTACTGACTGAGCAAAAACATTGGGTCACCAGCATGCTTCTGGGTGGAAAAGATGGAAGAAAAGAGTGGAAACAAAAGCTTTCCCTAGGGTTTGCAAGGTTGTAGAAGGAAAATACATATTTTGTATGATTCCAATGAACATTTTCTTAAGATGCTTTCAACTAGCATTTCAGTAAAATACAGAACCTGATTCTTCATTATCTTATTCCAGTTTTGCATGGTAGAACATGATTACAAACAGACAATCAGGCTAATGTAATAATATTCATCAGCATTGGGGTAAGTTGGACCTGCCTGATGACAAAGGAAATCCTGTGACATATTGTAATGGGAAGATACTTCTATGGGGATGCAGTCATGCTAGCAAAGGCATATTTTGTACAATAATTTTCCATAACAGAAGCAACTGAACTGAGATTAGCACAGTTTTGCCTAGTCAACTACATCTTGCGTAGAGGCCTCTGCTTGGTCAGCTCTGGAAGTTAGGGAGGACCCTTGAACATACTCCTGGCTGATCTGTCCATATCAGCAGAAATGTTCAGTAAATCTACAAGTCCCCCAGGCTGTTCAGTCAGCTTCAAACAGATCTTGACAAAGCTTCATACACAGAACGGTCATTCCTTATGTGCAGTATGAAACATGTTTTCTAAATTAACATGAACGGTAGAGTCTGCAGCCAGTGATGCAGCATCTTCAGCACAGCATGCCCCTCGTTATCGATAATTGCAGTTACTTTATCAGTTGAAGTGCAGGTTTGCAGCTTTCCATTTCAAGTATTTTTCTTATTCATCTTGTTCTCTGTGAGCCTCCCTTCTCTTTTTATGTAAGTTTTGAAATCTGGGCTAGTAGCAACCTGTCAGTTCTTTTGGGATTCTCCTGAAAACATCAAGAGGTGGCAAACCCTTTCTGCTTCTGGGGAGGTTTGTGGGGTCCAAATTAATCTCTCTCTTTCTGTCCCACTCCATTGTCTCTATAGAGCTATTTGAAAAGAAAAAAAAATAGGTACAATCTAACGTGGGTAAAGATGGCAAATATGGGTCTTTGTAACGAATCTTCATCCTTTGTAAGGATTTCAGCATTAAGGCCCAGTTTTACCAACATTTTATTAAAAAAAAAACCTTTTTCCCAGGTTTTTGTAACTTGGCTTTTAGAAATAAGATTTTATATTTCTGCTGTTATTCAAAGAGCTGTTCCCAAGTTCTTTTTTGAGCAAACTTCTTTTGAAAAAGCCCATTCCTCATGAAAAATGAAATGACTAGGTGAGTCAGAAATAACAGATATATTTGAATTCCCCAAAATGCATACCAGCATTTGATTTAGAGTAGCAAATGCCTGAGATCAAGGATTTTGGCATCTGTTATTTTTATATTTGGATTTGTAACACACATTTGTTTTAAGCAAAAATAGGGAGTGTTCTCTGTATCTTTGTTCCCTCTATAGCTTTGTCTACATCATCTTTTCCTACATTTTCAAAGTTACATACCTGTTCTAAAGATATTAATATCTGTTTATTCCCTTGTTCCTGTCTGCTGTGTGTTTCTTTATAGTGTGTTTCATTCTGCTTCCTCACCTTTCCTTGATTAGAAATGAAAGAACAGTGTGACTAGTACCAGAATAAAGCAGGGACAGACCGTGCAGTATAATGCATCAGGGTACTACTGCAGGAATAATCCAGCCAGTGTTAGGAAAGAATTTCAAAGAAACTATTCCTCCAATGCACTAGTTTGTGGTGCTCTGAGAAGCTGCCACTACTGTATATCCTATACCTGATGGGATGCAAACATGTTGTCTAATGCATTTTTGCATATCTGGAGAGGTAGAATTGGGAACTGCTGCTCCCAGAGTGAGATATCATAGAATCATAGAATGGTTTGTGTTGGAAGGGACCTTTGAAGATTATTGAGTCCACCCCCCCTGCCATGGGCAGGGATATCTTTCACTAGATCAGGTTGCTAAAAGCCCCGTCCAACCTGACCTTTAACACTTCCAATATAGCCCATGCCACTAGAAAGTCTGGGCCACCATGTTTTTTATCTGGTGAGGATATAAGGTTTGTTTAGGAAGTGTATGATAGTTCTCTCTGCAACCATAGCAGCATCCTACAGACATATATAACATTAATTAGGCTAATAATTAATAACTGTCTTGAACTCATCTGCTGTGATCTGTGTGAATGGAAAGCACATAGCACTTCCAAACTGCTGGTTTGCATCAAAGCTAATCTCTTATTTAAATAAATCCATATTTAAATAAAATGACCTCAGTTTCTTTCACTGCTTT